TCCAATATTTACGTTTATCTATAGAAAAAATGACTTTACGATTACACTGTTTGATGGAAAAATAATTCAGTGATGACACTGTTTGATGGCACTGTTATTTCTAATATGGAGCAGTTACTATTAAGTTTTTTATGCTTTTTCTTAAAGTTGTTATATCACTGCAAGTAGATATTCTTGAACCTTAACAAAACTCTTGCAGAATGGATTGGCAGTGACTTTGCTCGAATAGAATTGTTGCGGTGATTATGATAATATTGTACGAATAATACCGCTCTACCGTGGATCGAACTCCATTCATAAAATCGTCTTTCATTAGTGATAAATGAGTCTGTGAGATTCTAGGACATCCCACAAGGTTTATTAATATATTTCGCATATCAGTACCCATTTTTTTTGGATCTCCTCCACGAACTTCATAACAACCATGGGCTCCACAGTTCCTCTAGAACAACTAAAAGAGAGATGTTAGCAATAATACTCTACATTCTAGCGCAAAATGAATCAATGAGAGGAGCAATGGAGCATTTCTAGCATTCCTCTAAGACAATCAGCCGGTATTTCTTCGTGGTTCTAAAAAAACCATTAGTTTAGCAACAAAAATAATTACACCGGAGGATCCGTCATTCGAGACAGCTCCAGCAAAAATTTTCAATGACCCGCGGTATATGACATTCTTCAAGGTAAACTTAATTCATGCATTACATTCACATATGAATCTAATTAGTTTGCTAGCAATAACATCTTTAACTATTTTAACAGGACTGTATTGGTGTCATTGACGGTACCCACGTTGATACACAACTACCCAACCATGAAAAAGTTACGCACATTGGATGGTGTGGATCACACACAAAATATAATGGTCGTATGCGACTTCAACATGTGTTTCACATTTGTGATGGCCGGATAAGAAAGGAGTACACATAATAGTTGGTTTTTTGCTAATGTGACAAAAAATAATAGACAACACTTCCCTGGCCCACCTCCAGATTTGCTCATGTATATACCACATTAGTATTTTTATCAAACGTTATTAATAATGGTCTTCCAAACAGGTAAATATTATTTGGTCGATGACAAATGATGTATCTGAAACCATTTTTGGAAACTAAAACTACATTCAAGATTTCAAGGGATCAAGCGATGTTGCTGGTGGAGGGAAAAAAATTTTAACAAACGTCACTCCCTATACGGAGTGATTGAAAAAACATTTACGGTGTGGAAGAAACAATAGGTCATCTTACGTGATATGCCGACGTAACCATTTTCTAAGCAAGTACATATTGTGGTGGTCACAATGGCTCTGCACAACCATATTCGACGGCATTACTCTCGGTCGGATCCAGATTTCAGTATGGCTGACGACGATCAGATGCAGGTCCCCCCTGAAGCATTTGAATTTCATGTCAGACAATTTATACCACTGGCGGAGGAGTCGCCGGAATTTGAAATCCAAGATGGCGAAGGTGCAGTGGAAATGATAGTTTTGAGAGAGCAGATCACAAATGTTATCGTTGGATGCTGATCGACCATTTCATCTTTAATTTCTATACTATATTTTTTTATGCCTGTTGTATCATTGTTACTTTTGATTTTATATTATTCACATTTTCAAAAGAGTTTTCCTTCATTTGTATTTTTTTTTTATTTTGTGGGCTTATGAGGTTAACAATGAGACGTTTGACCTTCTGGGTTCTTCGAATGGTCTGTCAGTCGATGTTGGTTGGTGTCACATGTGAAATAATAATAAAGACAACTAAATTTCTCTTGTATTTTTGGCGATATTTTTTTAAGGATCTTCTGGATGACCTATTTCAGTGTGTATATGTGACATACGAGAGGTTGGTTTTAAGTGGGTAAAAGACAACCAAGAACCTTGTTTTTTTAACAATGTCTAATGTCTTCTTGTATTGACAAATTCGTTGGTTGGTGTAGTGAGTTCTCTAAGCCCTCACGCCTGCTTATTTTTTTGGTTTTGTAATTTTCACGTGTTTGCATTGTTACTTTGCCTTTTTTTAAGGGCTTATGAGGTTGACTATGAGACGTTTGACCTTCTGGATTCATCGAATGACCTGTCAGTCACTGTTGGTTGGTGTCACATGTGAAATCCTAATATAGCCAACCAAATTCCTCTTATATTTTCGGAGACATGGTTTTTGAAGATCTTATATATGGTCTTCTTTGGTAATATGCATATGTGACACACACGAGGTTGGTTTTAAGGGGGGTAAAAGCACAAAAAAAGCCTATTTTTTATAAGGTCTACTGTTTTTCTGTAGTGACAGATTCATTGATTGGAGTTGTGAGTTCTCTGGGCCCTCACACCTGTTTATTTATTTGGTTAATTTATGCTTACATGGTTTCTGTTTATTTCCATTTCCTTGTATATTTATCAAAAGAATTTCATCCATCTATTATAACTAATGGGTGCTCACGTATCTTTGAAGGAAAATGAGTTTCAGGATTTCAGGGACCTCCCGACAAGTGTTCTGCCACTGCGGACTACAAAATTCATTATTGACGTCATGTCGGACACATAGCTACGAGAGAAAGTTCTACAGGTGCCCGCGGTGGGCAGACGATCCGTAGAAGTGTGACTTCTTCGCGTGGGCAGACAGTCTGGTTGATTCCATTGTCGTTAGTAATCTATGTTCGAAGATAACCCTATAGAACAACACTGCACATGACATGCTTCTGCATTTTAAAATGAATATTATCAAACTTTTAATTGTAATTTTAATATGTTACTTCTTTTTTTAGGTTTCTTGATACTCGCTTTTGAGTGAGATGTATATCATTTTTTGTACCGTTATGAAGTATTTTTTTGGTTTTAAACTATCAAATATATCGTAATGACAGTTTTGTTGCAAGCAGCACAACTGCACAGTGACAAAATGATCATTTATCCAAAAACAGCTGCAAATGAGTTATTTTTCAAACGCACAAACCAAATAACTAGACAGTTTATCTAGATCTGGCTCAGAATGATCATTTATCCAAAAAAAACTGTAAATCAACTGTTTTCAAACATACAAACCAAACAGCTAACCAGTTTATCCGGATCGATTGTTGATCAGCAGCTTATCAGAACAAGCAGCTTGTCTGGATAAGCTGGATAAACTACAGCTGCCTCAAACAGCTCTCAAGTGGGATCAGTTGAAAAGGGACTCGAATTTGTAGAAGGAATTAAAACAGAGATGCATGGGCTTGGGTTGGGATCCAATCAAATGAACTATTAAAGCGTCGGAGGAATGATGACCTGAGAAATTGGAATTAACAACTTATCAATGAAAGACTTTATTTTCATTACTTTCTCTTCTTGAACTATATGAAGTAATCAACTTGCCCGTACATTGCAGGCAGTGTCAGCCGCCAAGAAATTCAAACTCAGTAGAATTAACCATGATCTAGAATAAAAGTTAGACCGTATATTTGATTGTGTTGTGGAAAAGGGGACTCATACCTGGACCCCTAGTGAGCTAGGGTTTGCAGGCATACCAGAAGACTTGAATGTCGAGCATGTAATTGGCTCTGGTGAACGGCCAAGCCCAGACAAAAATTAACTGGAGTCCACATGCAGGTTAAAGCGTCCTAGGGTGGAGAAAAAGAAAAAAGGAGCTGATTCTTGACGACATGGCTAGATTTTGATTGTGAATAGGTGGAATGAGGTTTGTCAAAATGATACAGTGTGAGAAAGAAAAATTTTAAGTGGAGAAAAGATTGGGCATTAATGGATGTTAGAAATTTTAGGACAAGACTAAGGTTAAGCTAGTCCTGATACTAAATAATACCGAAGTTAATCTAAACAATAACAGAAAAATAAATCTTATTTTTCGAAGCAAATAAGCGATTACAAAATCACAGCGAAAAAGAAAGAGAACAAACACACAGCACTAACAAGCTCAATTAAAATGTATCCCAATACTGGTAACAGGCGAAAGATTGTGAGTTGGTTGTGGATGCAACCAGGAAGGGGAGTGCTAGTCGGATATTGCAGAAGGTTGGGGACTTTGAAGAGGTTGTATGGGTCGGTGCAACGATTAGGTGGTAGGGAACTGGTTCGGCAAGGCTGGAACAGTAGCTAGGATGCGGGGGAAGGGATTTCGTGAGGCTGGGACAGCAAAGAGATGGCAAGAAATGGGTTGGTTGGGTGCTGGAAGGCAATAAGGTGGGAGGAAGATATGTTGTAGAAGATTGTAGGAAAAAAGTGAAAGTGTTCATCGGGTGGCTGCAGGAAACAGTGATGGCGGCGGCGAAGGGAAGGATGGAGGGCTCTAGGACAGCAAAGGAAGAATTGTCCAGGGGCTGCAGCAGCGTGGGGTGTGGTTGGAAAGGGATTTCAGAGGATTTGAATGGGAAAAATATCCCCGCGGGATAGAGCTCCAACCGCAGCATCACTCAAACCCTTGAAAAATGTCACCACCTCGAACAAGTTACAGCCAGAGCACCTTCTCAAATTCGGATACAGCCCTAGAAGTTCACTACCTTGGATGAGTTATAGCCGGAGCACCTTCTCACCTTCGGATACAGCCCTAGAAGGGGAACATCGGACGTCGGCGACAGTCCTAACAGAAATCAATGCCAAAAACTGACTTACAAACCCTAATACAACACATATATAGAAAAAGACTAAAAAACATGAAGGATGATAGGATAGAAAACATAAGAAAAGAAAATGGGACCATTTCGCCGACTCTCCCGCGGTAACTATTTTTGCGGTACTATAAGAGCTACAACACTGCTGTAGTTCATTGTGGTAAGCTCCTGCATCTCTTAATAGCATACAACCAAAGCTTAGGCTCATTGGTTCCTACTCTAAGGGTCAGCTGCAAGTAAAATATGAAAATCTTTTGTAACTTTTAGGAAATTCATAAGAGTTACTGGAAAGTAATTAAAGAATATAAGGCCTTTACGGATAAATCTTTTGTATTATTAATTGCATGCTAAGTACTTCAGAGTTCACAAGGAAAATAAGCTAAATCCTGCATAATCACACATACCTGTCAAAACAGAAAGCACCCAGATCTGTGTAGGAACATCATAAAGTGTCTTGGCTAATGTTAACGATGACTTCAATATCTCCCTAGCTTGTTCAGTGTCATGCAGTTGAAGTGCTAATGTTCCCAAGATCGTCAAGTACTGAGAAACAAGTTGAATGTTCCCCAACTGCTGGTGTGCTAATTTCAGGCCACTGGCCAGACGAACTCTAAATGAAGAATACAGAAAAAAAAGACAGCTATTTAATTTATGCTAATATTTGTGCAACTCCAAGTTCAGAGAAAAGCTTGATTTCAAAAATGTTTTTCCAAACACAAGTTGGTGTGGCACATCTAATACTACAAAATTAAAAACAAATCGTAAAACAAAACAGAGTTTACTGTAACCCAAGCTCAATAAGATTGGTTCCTTTCCTTTTGTTTAAATATAAGTCCTCCCTTCACACCGTATTCATATATCAATTATAAAGGAAATTAAGACGCTAAATTCAAGGTTACTTGGTTATATGGCCATTTTATCTTCGGCAAAAAGAAAGTAACGCTCTTCACATTCTTATTCAGATCGTGAATAATAGCTCCGCGCTAGTGCAATTTATGCCATATTTGTATTATTTTACATTTCTCTCTGACTTAACATGCAGAGTCTTTACCATAAATGTCTGTAATAACTTCAATCTTGAAGGATTAGATCTAATACCATGAATTATTGGTAAGATTACATAGCAAACAAGACCCAACAATTACAAAAAACAATGAGAGGAGGTATAGAGCAAAAACGAACAAATTGAAGTGCCAGCGATTTGAACCGATGTGCATGTAACTGGTTAATCACTAATATTTAAAAAAATTCAGAGCGATCATCTCTGGGTTTTGCAATAATACTGCATAAGGGTGACACAGCACAAAAATCAAGAATAATGATTAAACCTTTCTAAATTCAATCGGGCAAATTCAAAATTTTACTTGTATCAACTTTATTATATTTATTTTTATATTAAAAATCACCAGTTTAGATAACCTGTAATAACTGTGTAAAAATAAATATAAATAAATAAAATAAAATGATAAATGTGTCAAATGAGAAGCAATGCTCGCTGGAATCAAAACTACGAATTTTTTACCACATTTCATTCTACCTAACACACGAAGCAATCACAGGGATTGAAAACAAGGGAGAAGAAAGGAGGAAGAAGTGGTGTTGTGAGAAAGAGGAAGTCGAACTCTAATCTAGTAGTTCGAACGGCACATGCCAAGCAACGGAGTCGCATATGAGCAAAAGGAATAGGAAGACGAAGGAAGAAGGGCCTCGCTTTCAAAAAAAGAGGAAAAGGAGTCGAAGGAGAAAGGAGATGACGCAGAACCTATCGGAACACGTGTGTTGGGAAAGCAGGCGGGAGACGACACCAAGGAAGGAGCGACGTCACTTGCTGAAAGAAGGGATCGAGCGATACTTATTCGATTTGCACAGACGAAGGCATCAGTAAGCTGAAGCCTGGAACGGAGAAGACGATGTTGGTGATCGAAACCGAAGGAGGTGACATCCTCGAGTATTCTGCCTTTGTTGAGTGGGAAACTTTCCTCGAGTATTCTGAAAACGTCGAGCAGGAAGAAGCTTCGTTCTAGATGAAGAAGAAGAAAAAGAAGAGAAGATGCACATTGTGTGGGAAAGAAGAAGAAGAGAAGAGAAGAGGTTTGTGTACGGGGAAGGTGATTTCATGTTAGAAAGGAGCCCAACAACATTTTAAGGTGAGTTAAGGTTTGTTATATTAATTAATGAATTTAATTTAAATGTTTATTTATTAAATATTATAGGCTTAATTAAATCAGAATTGAAGTTATTAAAGGTTTGGATTGAAGAGATTGAAGTTAGTGTTTGTGCAAAAGAGAAAGGCAATGTAAAGAAAGATAAAAGTTTATAATTTTATGCTTAAATTCTATAAATTATTTTAATTAAAATGTCTATTAACTTTATGAATTAATTTCAATAATTTATTGTGGACAATAAATTGAATTCAAGCACCAATAAGATCGAGAAAGGATCGTGCAAAAGAAGAAAAGATAAGGAGATAAATTTAATATTTATTTGGTAATCATTTCTAATCAATTAACTTATTAATTTCTACGTATTAATGTTAGAATATCATGAAATATTACCAGGTGAGAAAATTGATATTGTGAAAGAGACAATTGAAAATTTTTAAAAGGATCATTTCATGGTGAAATCGAAGTGAGTACTCTAACTTTTGATCTATAATAGCATAGTATTTGTGTTTCTTCTCAATCATTTGCAAGAAAGTTATCTCATTAATTTTGAAAGGATTATTTCAAATAAAAAAAAATGATCAACATACAAAACAAATATTTTTGTGCTAAAGGAAGAATACCAATAAAGATAAAAGGATCAACCATGCTAATCCAAAGGTCAATAAGAGTAGCATATTGTAGTTCGTCAAACCAAACATAGGGGGCTTTGTTTCAAATTAATAGCTTTGGATAGATCCATACAAAGAAAAGTCTTTTTGGCATCCATGTGAAGCAAGGTTAAAAATTGATTAATGGCAACAAAATGGATAGGGCAAATAGAGTTAAAACAGCAAGCCAGAAGAAAATTCCAAAGTAGTCAATGTCATGAACTTGTGCATAATCCTCTTGACCAACAATCAGGCGATGCAATTATTAATAAACCTATTTGGATGGAACTTAATAGTGAAGACCCGAAGACATGAAAGGGTTTGACACCAAAAGAGAGTGTAACAAGATCCAATTTTGAAGCTCAAGAAGATTATTCATTTCAATATCCAATGCTTGCTTCCAGTCATGTAATCGAGCAGAATTTCTTCATAAGTCTAGAGAATACATGAAGTAAACACAGACAAAGCGACAAAAGAAAAAAAGAGAGAAATTATCAAAGAATAGTGGATTTTAGATGACATGGTGTACACCTTCACATAAAGCAATTGAGAGATGTGGATCAAAGGACTCGGATGCAGGTCGGTGCATAACAATATTGGATGACATGGAAGCTGGCGCTTTAAAAAAACAGGCCAAAACCTATAGAGAGGAGCGGGCACTAAAACAACAGGTGACAGTGGTACACTAGGAGAAGAGGGGCAGGGTATAAAGCAGGAAGATAAAGATAAAATGCTTCTTGAGGTGGCGATGACAAATCCATATAGTCAGCATGCAAAGGAAGAAAGATAGTTGTATATCAATGGAATATTGAAAGTACACCGCCAATAATGATGGACGACAAAATTGATCAAGTAACAAGTTGTGAGAACGGTATCTTCACAAAATTGGCATGGAACATGCATGTAATATAGTAAGGTAAAGCAACATCTAAGATATATCAGCCCTGTCTGGCTACAAGTTTTTGTTGTGATGTATAAGGTTATGAAAATTCATGTATAATGCCATTTTCAACATAAAAAGAGCAAAATCAAGATTGCATGGTCATATATCATTGATACACGGGTTTAATTTAAGTGGAGAATTGAACGTCTTTGATAAAATTTTTAAAAAATATAGAAATTTTTACTGACAGTTCAACATATGAAAATCAACATGAGTGCACATGGGACCTGATCCAAGAATATTTGAATGAGCATTTTCAACAACTGCACCAGACATAGGAAATAAGTCTTGGTGATGTTTATCATATTAACCAACTCCAAATTCAAAATTGAAACAGACGTAACATGAGCGATATCATATAGAGAAGGGTGTCCTGGACGATAATGTCACTATTACGGTGAAATAGCAAACATGGGTTATAGTCATTTATAATATAAAAGCCCCCAAACATCAAAGTATCTACTGATCATCTTCTAGTATTAATCCTAAAGACACAATAAGAAGGATTAAAGGTTGCATAATTATGATTTTCGGTGAGGCAATGTATAGACAAAATCCATAGGAGAAACTGGTGAACTAATAAAATATTATCTACAATCAAAATTGAGAAAGGATGGATAATCTATTGTCAGTGACAATATTTGGAGAACCCATAGAAAAAATAATAGATGAAAGAGATGTCTTGGTTAGTGGCAGTCATACTACATAAGGGAGAAAGCAAAAAAAAAATCTAAAACCAAAGATTACTAGAATGAGAAACTGCAGCCGAATCAAAGGTACAAATAGCATGAGAAGATAAAGTTGGTAAATAATAATGTTCAAGTAGTCAATATTTTTTTATTTTTTTTTGGAGAAGAGATTGGACAAGAATGAGTAACTACAGAATCAACAAAAAATGGAGACAAGTTGAATAGCTGGAGAACAGCAATTTTTTTTTTCCAAACAGCAGTCAAACGAGTTATTAATTCTTTATCATTGCTGAAAAAGTGGAAAAGTGTTGTGACCAGAACCATGGTCAGCAACACGACTCACCTCATCCATGATTAGCATAAATTCCCCAACAAGTTTGATAGCAAGGGAAATGTGATCGCCATTTGAAGAATGTGAAGCAATAACTCTGAGAGCCGGAGAACCCATAAAACAGTAGTGATATTTAGAACAACAGCATTAGCCATGAATTGAGTTTCAAAAGATTCTAGAGATGGATGAAAAACACAAAATACTTGGTAGAGAGAAACTCCTCATTCTATTTTTACCTAGTCTGATCAATCAAAAAGAGACAATTGTGCATAAGTAAATCCAATTTACATTTCAAAGTGTCGTGGTACTCATAAAAATCTTTTCATCCTATTGTCGGGCAAATAAATTATAGTAAATACCTAGAGATATCATCAAAAAGGTAAGTAAAAGGGAGAAATTTTACACCCCTTTGGCCATCAGTTGAAATATGATGGTAGAAACAATAATTGATTCAACAGTACAACAGTATTATGTGAGAACCGCATGGTCAGAAACTTCTCATTTGGAGTACTTAACTGCGTCCATCCACTTGGAAGGTAGAGAATCAAAATGACCAAGTTTCTTTCGAAATCCTATGATAAGGTAAAAAAACCCAAGGCCACAATAAATAGTTGGTAAAATTGAGTCTGATGGTAGTAACTATAGTATAAATTGTTCATCTCCAGGAGAGTAGTATGAGAATCCATCAGTGAACACAATATAAAGAATATGAAAATCATTTGATCAATCTTAGATCAATGTGAGGGACGGCAGGATGAAATGGAAAAAGCTAGCAATTGTGCAAAAAAGGGTAACACGCGTGCAAACGAATGCATAGATGCAAGCAGCAATTGTG